GACTTTGATTGCAGTTTCCAGTTGTGAATTAATTAGTGTCGTAATAAACTGGATGATATGTCATTCAACAAATGTCGATTTTTAACTCATCTGAATCGTCCACAGCGGTGATAAATCAACATCTGAAAACAACGGTGTGAAGGAGGCCACCTCGGAGAAGGAGAATCTGACGTAGAGAAATCACTGACGTCCTTGATGTTGGTTCCGATGCAACGATAAATATAACGTTATGAAAATGGCCTGTAGCAGTTCAGCATGACTTGTGCTTGACTGGAGAGGAGCTCATGTAAGACAAAGCATCATCTTAAATTATTGGGTTGTTTTAGTCAGTTTTAAGATATTAGAGCTTGGTGATGATTACATAAATATATTTAATATGTAAAGATGGATTTTCTGTTAACGATATTCCACATTTAGTGATAATACAAGAATGTTTTATTTACATTGTCTGAAACTCAAGTCTGAAATTTTCACATCTGCGCTAAATCAATGTAAAAAATTAAAACAAATAATTTAGGAAGCATTAATAAAGTTGAGTTGTATAATTTATTTCGTAAAAGATACTGATGTTGATGTTGATATTCCAAACATGAAAGAGAACCTGTGGTTTCCTCCAGTTGTCAGAGAACTCAAAGAATGTTTGTCCAGTTTGGACTCCTGTAAAAAATAAAATGGTGGCACTATTGATGTTTTCAATAGTGTGTTTCATCTAAATTGTACGAATTGTTTTCTTTACCCGAGAACGGGCCCTTTATTTTAAAGTGCTATCTAATTCCATCTGGAGCCGGGAGATAAGTGAGGGCCTGACTGCAAGGAGAATGTTTGCAGGGACACTACTCTTTAAAAACCTGGTCCTTTGCTAAATATTTACTTTTGGGAAGGAGAAGAAAGGAGTGAAACCGAATCAGCAAATATTGGTTGTCTCTTCAGCTCTGGTTTTCATCATTAACTTAAGACGGCTCTTTATTCTTTCACATGACTTTTTATCTTCTATTGTGACATTGAACAAACAGTTTATATGACTGTGGTTTGTAATGACGACCATGTTGAAAAATTGCATCAGAAAAAATTTAGATTAAAAAAAAGAAAATGAAAAATCTAAATAAAATAAAAAAAAGCGTAATGATTCTACGGCGTGGATGCTGTGAGACCTACTTGTGTTTCAGTGGATTATCTCAAGTGGATGGGACATTGTTCCCGGAGAAATGTATTGCTGAATTTTCCATTTCACTCTTGCAAGTGACTCACAGTTGAAGCTGCTTAGTGATGAACAGCAGTGACTACAACAAAAGCACAGAAGCTACTGTAAACATCCTGGAGGGCTGTTACAGCTCTGTTTGGGCTCTGAGATGTATTTGTAATTTCTTGTAAATGGCGTGAACTCTGTCAATGCAAATATTTACAGACACAATGTATCTCACAGTTGCAACATGAGCGTTTTTCCATAAATAGAATGTAGGGGTTTCTTTCACTGAAAACAAATGAAATCAAGAAAATCTAAATCCTCATGCACACACTGTCTTGCATGTCCCCACTGCTGCCTACAGAGGTCAGTAAAGGACAGCAACATGAGCTAATCATGTTCAACGGTACTGTGGTCATTTAACAACACATCACAATGATTCCACCCGAGAACTTTAGTGCTGGGATGATTCAGAGACACAAATGGCTAAAAGTGTCAATACCCTCCCACTTAATAAATTGAAATCTGCAATTTGACTTGAAATAAGATGACATTTAAAAAATAAACTCTATCTGTTCTCGTATCAACGTGAAATAGAGCCCACATGCAGTTCTCTCAAAGCTTTCAAAGTAGCATATTATTTGAAACAATAGAATAAATGAAAATGCTGTGGACAACAACATTGGGAACTTAGACTTGAGAGAATGTAGTGTACCAGAAAACAAACTCTGGCAATCGAGTGCGTTGAACAGCTCATGCTGAGATATTTCAGCTCTCTGTGTAACTCCGTAACACAACTGAGCCTGCACCGCGGTTCAAAGCCAGGACGGCATTTTTTGGTCTCTTTAAAAGCTTCACTTTGACCTCCGCATATGTTTGTTTTTAACAAACAAATATTAACTCTTGGTAAATGGAACAAGAGAGAACCCAATAAAGTTTCACACAGATCTGGACAAAAGGGCTGGATCTAGGTATTTTCTTTTTCTTTTTCTTTTATTAACACTGCACGATCAGATGTACTGTAGTATTTTCACAGATTTCCCAGGGAATGGTTCATAGAAGTTGATGAAAACATCAGACACATTCATGGAACTGATGAAGCTTGGCTGAATTTAAGGAGACTGTTGTGCTCTACTGAGAACCATTTGAGATAGATTTATATCTTTGCTTTAGCTTTTAGTGTGAACTTTCTGTGGTTTGATAGAATTTGATGGAAATGATCGTGGTGATAACCACTCTACTCATTCTAGTTTCCTCTGTGAAGCCAAAGCTGGTATGGCTCACCAGAAATGTATATTTTTTTAATATATATTTTGTCTTTTCTCCCTCACCCCTCTTGGAGGTCTACATTTTCTACCATTCAAACAGAAGGAGCCTCTAGCCATAGGAGCCTCTGCTTTTGGGGATGGGATCATATTTGAAGGAGCCTTTCAAATGGAACAGCTGTAGACGCGCTGCTGTGACACAATCTGTCTTCAAATGCAACCTTTAAGGTTCAGCCCTTGAACTGAAACACGGCGAAGAAGCTTAAACTAAAACAGGAAATAATGAGTAGAAAGTGCAAACAAATCGAAAAATCTAAGTAGAATTGTACTACAGAGCGTAAACCCCCACCAAGCCACTAAAATCACAAATCAAAAGTCTTTCCAAAGTTCAACACAAATTATCAACCCACTGCACAAATAGGGCCGAGGTGGCACTGTGAATCAGGTGAAGTTTTGTAAAAAGTCCTCTAAGATGATAACAACACAGGTTCTGGGGAAATAACCCTAATTATATAATTAAATAATTATATAAAAATATTCTCACCCTGTTACGGGGAGGATGTGGTCTGACCGGTCAGACGCACTGAGCCACAGTGAGGCTCCAAGTGCTTGGAGCACCGAACTCTATGAAGTGATCTTATATCTAATCAATGTTTTATTATTTCATGTTTTTTTTAATCATTTTCATATTTAACTTCACACAGAAAGAAAAAAACATAAGCATAAAAGACAACAATCACAAAGGACAAAAAATAAAAAAGTCAGGCTCTACAGAGATAAGCTCAAGCAGAACAGCCTATACTAATTAATCGTTCCGAAAATTTAAAAAAATAAAGCATATGGCGAGGCATGTCCAGAATCTTATTTATAATCTGATCCAAAATGAAAGTTATCATTAATAACATACAGGAGTGAGTTGAAAACAATCCTAGCTGATCCATTCTCCTGTGAACTGTAACACGAAACGCAAAATTAAATCTCCTCATTGTTTTCTCAGGTGTTGCCTTTACCGACAACAGGTTTTGCAGGAAGGAACATTTACTGGAAAATCTTGCATAAGGAAATGCACGACTCAGTTATAGACTGGTATGTGGTATGTGTGCCAGTACGTGTCCGTATAAAAGAGTGCGAGGTTCGTGCCCATATCATTCGTCAACATGAAGGTCCTGCTTGTTACCGTGCTGCTCCTGCTGCTGTGTAGCGCTCACGGTGAGAGAACTTAACTTTATATGATGTTATATTATTTACATTTATAAATTCAATTAGAATATTTAACAATAATGGTCCAACTATTTGACTTTATCACTGTGGGAGGACGTTGTTTTCTGTAAAATATTTAAATATTAAGTGTTAACTTAACAATATTGGATGTGGTCAACAAAAAATATGTCTCTAATTTTGATTTTCTTTTCATCAGTGCTCACACTCCAATGCAACACCTGTGCCAGTGAAACAGATGAGGAATGCAAGACGCTGGTTGAATGCCAACCGTCCGAGTTGTACTGCAAAACCGTCACAGATGGTACATAAGCAACTTGTTTTGTTGCATTGACTTTGTCCCTGATGTCCATGATGGCGTGTCACTGTTTTATTGCAGTTATTTTATGTTTAGATGTTTTTTTTAATTGTTGTATTTGTTTTTCAATAGGGGACCAGATCTATCGCTCCTGTGAGACGTTCTGCGACACGGACGATTTTACAACCTGCTGTCAGACGGACGGATGCTAACCCCAAGGCCTTGCTTGAAAATCGCTTTCACTTTCTGATAACAATCACGTGGAAAAATTAACCTAAAAAATCTGAACATTTGAACGATTTGCTAGTTTATCAAATGTTAATCTGTCAATAATCCTGCTTTTGATTTGTTTTGTCCTTGATTGAATGAATCTGCATAAAATAACAAAAATGTATGCAACACAAAGTTGCTCCAGTTCATTTTTCTAATGAACTAGAGCTGGTAGCAGAGCGACCACACACACACACACACACACAAACACACACACACTTAATCCCTTTCCGATGTCACTTTGTGGGTCACCAGCCGACTGCTACTGTATGTGGGTCGTTGTCCGTCACTGCTGTAAAACTGGAGTCGTCTTTTTCATACTCACAGAAAAATAAGAAATGGATGAAGGGAAAATAAAATTTAAATACATTTTACTGATTTGTTTCAGCTGTCTTTTGTTTTACATGTGAATCGAAATTAAAAAAAATTCTGATGGGTGATGATATAAAAGGTCAAAGCTAATGAGCCATGAGCACCTCGTGTGTCAGGGTTTAATGTTTGCAGACAAAGTTTCAAAAATAGAGTTCAAGAGTTCCCTTGAGATGTTCCTGAGATAATACATTCATCAGGCAAACACTTGTGCTTTTAGAGGTCACAGGGAACCATAATGACATTTTCAGACAGTCCGAAGGACAACCAAGCCGAAGTCTCCAGGTGTGCACAGCTTGTTCATTTACTGAAGCAAACCAGGCTGTTGAACTTGTTCTATAACATACTTCAAATTAATGGCATCTTCAGTGTTGTGTAATGGCCGCGTTGTCCGCTCAAAGCTTCCTTACCGGAAGTCGACTTTGAAGTACTCAGGAATTATTTCTGTTGTTATTATGGTTCATGCTGCTCAAAAAGCACAAAAGCCTCCTCATCTGGCTCCACATCACAACTACGTAAAAACATAAAATATGACAATGAAGCGACTGAGCTTAACAGGGTGTGTTTGAAATACCTTTCGACCACCATGCTGCCTTTAAACCAGCATGAAAATATAGGTCATAAGTGTTAATCTCTCCAGCTGTTTCTTCTCTACGTGAGAGTGAGTCAGACGTCAGAGATGGATGATTGGTGGATTAACCTCTACACTTTATGTGTTACTGGTTATTACAGACACATATTGTCCACATATACACAGACGGACCAAATGACTCAATGCGTCACATTTGAGTGACTTGTCCCTAAATCACCCATCATTTGGAAGAATTTAAAGGGATAGTTCACCCAAAAATGAAAATTCACTCATTATCCACCCACCACTATGCCGATGGACTCAAGTTTTTGAGTCCACAAGCAGTTTTGGAGTTTCAGGGGTAAACAGCTTTGCTGCCAAATCCAATACGATTGAAGTAAATGAAGGTGACAGATTCTTCAAACATAAAAAAACTGAAAAAACCCTACAATGCCTCCATACTGCTCTTGTGGTGTCATCCAATTATCCCTAAGCCCCTACATTCAAATAGGACTAGAAATTATTTCATTTAAACAATGTTTTTAGCCTGAATGTCCTCTAACATCCTGCTCCTAGTTACTGCAGCAGATGTTGTTTCGAGTCCAATTTGAATGTCAGGGCTTATGGACACTAACCCTGTGGTGAGTAGATAATGAGTGAATTTAAATTTTTTGGGTGAATGATCTCGTTAAAATGAAGGAGCCGGTAGTTGCTCAAAAAAGCACACTTCTGTTTCTCACTCAGGAAAGAGCTGTGAGAGACAGACTTGTGTTTGTGAATCATTTGTTGGTTTGAATATCTAAATATAGCTGCATGAGGAGATGTGAAACTCGTCTTCTTGGAATTATTTTGTTTTCCTGTTTACATTTGGTCATTTGGTCTTTGTATAATTCTCTGGATGCAGCCGTGGACAGCAACTCAGTACATTAACTCAAGTACTTTACATTTTCACCTTATATAAGCTATAAAATACCACTCTATTAGCCTACATTACAGAAGGAAATATACTTGTTATCAGCACAGAAATAATCAACGCTTACTTTTTTATTTCAAGATGTTACATGAAAATGCATAATAATCATTTAAATTGGCATTACAGATGAAACTATTAAATACATTTTTTAAACAAAACTTGAACTGTGGATCATGATATTATATTTTGCTCAAATATTATTCAACTTTATTATTATTCAAAATTTATAAGGAAGAATAACAAAACTGTTTTAGTTAGGCTATTGATTATTAAATAAATATTTGATTTGTCATGTGACTTGTGAAAGAATGGAAATAAAAAAAGGACGGCCAACTCTTATCTTATTGACGTAATTTAAGATTGCTCCTTTTTTATTCTTGGAATGATTATAAGTGTATATGAGTTCTGTTTTGCTTTGTAAAATTGTTTTGGATAACACTGAAATGAATGCAATGATCTAAACTAAAAAATAAAATTCTCAGTTCCCATTACGTGATTTTTTTTTCATATCCATTAATTGTTCCCTGGGAAAAAGTGAAAATATTGTTATTTTAACGTTAACAGCCTCCAAATATTAAAGCGATACCACATATCAGTTTGTGTGGACTTTCACTTTCACGACTGTAATATTTATTTTGTCATGTTTTGCAGAGGCCCAGCTCCAACAGGTTTATGTAACCATCATGATCAGATAAACCTGACTGAAAATAAAGAGGTAAAAAAGTAAAATAAAGTATTACATACAGCTTGGATAAAATTACCCATGCAAAAACATTGTCAACAATGCCTCATGAGGTGCAGCAGGTCATCCACTAACCAGTCTCCCCTATTCCGCGTGCTGAAGTGTCCTGGGACAAAATACTGAACCTAAGATTTTGAATGAGTGTGTGAATGGGTGAATGGCTCAACTGTAAAAGAGCATCTGGTCATCAACGAGACTAGAAAAGTGCAATACAAATACAGTCCATTTATCGTTTAATAATATATATCAGTTGCAGGGATTCTTATTTTGCAGAAAAACTATTTTAATTTGAACGAAGGACGTCATACTTCTGTTACCTCTGAGGTTAAAAAGAGCACGGCTGCAGGACAAAGCTCCTCTGCAAAAAAAACAAAGACTCAATCTGTTGCTCCACCAGTGGCCAATGGTGGGCCTGTTGTCAAGAGTGAGTTCAGCCTCAGCCGGTAGAGAAATGGTGGTCCATCTATTGGATTAGTGGAGGGATTTCACTGTCGTATTAATCTGAGAAGACAGCAGGCGACCCAGGGCTCACACTGAGCTGTTGTCTCTCTCTCTCTCTCTCTCTCTCTCTCACTCTCTCTGGCTGCCAGTCAGCTCGCTGTCTCACCGCCCATTTGACGTGTGGACGTGAACAGACTCTGTCCACCACCATGAACCTTTTCTGCTTCTCACTGGTAGGACACTCACTTTTTTGCCTTTTATCTATATCTGCTCATCAAGCTGTGTGTGTGTGTGTGTGTGTGTGTGTGTGTGAGAGAGAGAGAGAGAGAGAGAGAAAACTTTGCCTTGTGATGGAAATGTGAACTTGACAACACAATACACAATTGTGTATACAGAGGAAGAACAATGTTTTTCATTGTGTGCCTCTAAATAAACTGAATCCAAAGACAAATGACTGTATCCCAAAAGAGACAACCCGTTGTTTCATAAACCCACTGACTGTTAATTATTAGAAATGTCCTCCTGACACCGAGTTGTTCCACATCTCACTTGTATCAAAATTTAAAAATCTGCTTTGTTTGACCTCTGTGTGCTTCCATAGAAGAATGTGACACAGTGGCACTGTAATATGTGCATTTATTTAGATAATTCATGTAATTTGCTCATGTGGTCACCACACTAATGTTGGGGGGAAAAGAGTTACGGACACAGTGACAGATGCACACACACACACACACACACACACACACACACATATGGTCCCTCAGATGCTGCTGCAGCTGCCATTCTACACGTGGACACGAGGGCAAGCATACAGCAACTTGTCTTGTGCACAGATGTCGATGGATGTTGACCAATGATCAGGATGATTAACTGACGTCTTGCTAAAGCAAACAGAGGCTTGAACTGTGGTGGCACTGATCATCCTCTCTATTGTCATTATTCCGCATCACATGTATGTGATTTCTTCTTTTTCTGCACTATCACTTTCATGAGGCATTAAGGAAATCGTTTTCAGTGCATATTGTTGGTTTATATGTATTCATTCGGCACAATGGTTAAAGACAAAGCATTGTGAAAACTCCTGAAATCCCAGGTATATATAGAAGGTGACGTTAAAATTCAAAACTCAGATAAAAGGAATTCGTATTACAGCATCTTCAGTTTCAAACAAATGTCCGTCCAGCGCACTGATAAGATGTCATTGTACAAACAAGATAAAATGGATGAGGACAGAAAAGGGATATTCGTTCCTCAAAGGAATCTAAATATGTCGAACAAAATATTAATCCACACTGAGATGTGTTCTGAGGAATCTCAATCCTCCCTTACATCCAACATCGACAAGCAAATTCACAAGAGCTTTATCGAGCAGTGTGAGCAGCAGATCCCTGCTGTCATATCAAATCCTCATATCTCCAACTTTGATGCTTTGCATGTGAAGCGTTTCCTGAGTTTTAGGCTCTGGGATCAACCACTGAAGTGAGTGATGACGTTTGTGTTTGCAGTAGAGGATTTTCTGCTTGATTCCTGAAATGCAGCTCCCTTTGCAGCATGAAATTTCCTCATCATGAGTGTGGTACCAACACTCTGTATGACTAACTCCAAATAGAACACGTCATAGATTAAACCTGCTTCCAGGGTTCAGCTGTCTGACAGCTCTGTGTCTGTCTTTCAGGAGGGGTCTATGGACAGCCTGTATGAGGTGGTGCAGAGCTCCAGCGACAGGCCCCCAAAGCCCATCCCCAGCCGCTCATCCAGCCGCTCCTGCAGCCGCTCCTGCAGCCCAGCGGTCCTGCTGGACAACAACACAAAGTGGCGAGGCTCCGGGAGATCAATATCCATGGTGAGAGGGAAAACATATCATGCTCTATACTGACTATAACTTTGAGGCCAAACTGTCCAGATATAAGCAGGATTTTACTCAAAACAAGCACACTGGAATTCCAGAGCACAGGTTGTGACCTGTGACATAAAACTGATTATGAAATGAAAAACAAATCCATCTGAGAGCAGCTGCTGCTGCCAGACTTTTCACGTTTTTGTTTTAAATTAAGCAGAAGTGCAGTGCCTACTCTGAACCTGCCAGTTCTGAAGGGACTGTGTTAATGCTCTGGAGCTTTAGAATTATTCCTCGTCATTAGTGAGTCCTCCTCCAACAGTTCTATGAACAAGTTCTCTTTTTACTTTTTGTGTGCAGAGATTTGTATAAATAGACTTTTGTGCAGAGTCAAAATTTGTGTTCATCCTACCTGGTTTATCTGCAATGAATGATTTACTGAACTTTTTGCATGTTGGGAATTCAGAGGTCTGTTAATCAATCAATGTTTTTAGTACGTTGCAGTACAAAACATTTCAAAATAAAAGCTCTGTAATACAGCTCAATTACAGCAACAAAACAAATGTGCTTTTACATCGAAGACAACAAGGTAAGGAGGAAGGTAGATTGAAAGAAGAGTGGAGGTATTGCGTGCCCGAATGGAACCAAAATCGGCACTTACACACGCTCAAATGTGTGAAGCCAATAAGATGAATGGTTTGCGAGGTTAGCATTCCACATACAGACAGACAGACCTTTGTTGAATTAGTAGGTAGTTGTCCTTGATGAGGAAAACATTGATTTATTTATCAAATCCATTTGAATGTGACAGAAAAACCACACTAACATCTGACTGAAAAAGCTTTGTTTTTCATGCAGGAGATGCCTCAGACGCAGACGACCAACTCTAATAAAAAGATAAGAAGGTGAGCTCAGTAGGGAATTAGACACAATCATGCTTACATTGTATTAGTGGAACAAGAGTACATTGGTTTTTATCTCTGGGAAATCCATTTGACATTTTTGTAGGTTGTTCCTATATTATTATAACAGGCAATGAAATGAATTAAAGTCATTGTAATCCTGTCAGGCATGCGGGCCTGTGTCTGTCTGCTGTATACTGTAGCTTAAGTTTCGTTTGGCTGGATGTGCGTGCAAAGTGGAGCAAAAAAGCCGCCCTGCAAGTGAAAGGGTTTTTCCAGAGTAATAATATGGCTTGAAAGACTCCCTCTTTATTTTCTCTGTGGGTTAATTCTGTAAATCCTCCATGAAGCAGAGCATACAGGCTCTTCTACATTTCTCAGCCTCTGAACCTTATCTCAACTTCAGGTGGCCTGTTGGAGACAATGCTTTGCTTTTTAAAGAGGGAGTGGCGGCCCCATTAGGAACAATTGAAACGAAAGCTTTACACGCATTGTTCAGATTGTCTGATAGAGAATGTTTTTTTTGAGAAGCAGGAGTCTGTGGAGTGTTGGGCCAGCAGAAGGCAGATTATGGCTTTGGGCAAATTGGACTAAGCGGATTCAAGGCCCACCTACTTATAGTCCCCTGTTGCCACAACACCTTTACTCCCCTGGTGTTCCTTTCAAAGAAACACAATTTATGTCACAGTTCGGTATAGACTAGATCTTGTCTCATAGCACCGAATGTACTTTCTCAATATGAGTTTTTACTCTCATCTTTATCTTGTGTTCTGTTGTTGGCATTTTTCCAAGTGTCTTTGTCATATTTCCTTGGAGGAGGTCATGTTTTTGTTTGCATTTGCTTGTTAATTAGCAAGATTTCACAAAAAATGCTTAATCAATTTGCATGAAATGTGGTGGATGTACTGAGAGCCCTTCAGTTTGTTATATCAGTGTGTTTTTTGTGGCGTGTACTTGAACTAAAGGGCCACAAGACACTACTCAGATGCTATAGTTAAAGGCAAACATCTAATATTATATCTCTGTTGATTTTTATTTCAGAACACATATAAACAAATCTGCATCAGATAATGAAACATTGGGTGAGTAAAGAAATTCCCTCCTGATTAATAATAATGTGATTAACATAAGCTGCTTTGAGACTCCAGAGATCCTCCCCAGTTTCTCTGTAGGGGCATGTGTGAACCCAAATGTCCGAGTGAGAGCCTCCAGACATTTTATGCAGACTTTCTCCGTCTGGCCTCCTATTCCGCAGAAAGTCAGAAGGGGCCAATGTAAGGACACAGCAGGAGATCCTCTGCAAGATGGTGTTGATGTTTCTAACACGTAACAGACGCAAAAATGATAAAAGCAAAAAGAAAACAAATATCTGTGGATAAAAAAGTAATGCAATTCACATGGAAGACAAATGAGTCAAGAGAGTTTTTGGTGACTATGGCCGACACCGGTGTTGATGTGCTGTAAACAAAAACAAAGGATCTTCGCAGCAGAATTCACATGTTACTTCCTGCCTCTGCCTGCCGCACCACACCTCACCTGAATCCTGCGGAGGATTTGTTGCTGTTTTGAACGCGTCTGAGCAGAGAATCTCCTGCTGTGTCGCTCCAGAGGTCAGGTCTAAAAATGGATTCAAAGAGGTATGATGGGAACAAGAAAGCCATTGACTTTAGAATTTTTTAAGTTAATTTGTACATTTTAATCCATACTCTCAAGACTAAAGAATGGCCTTTAGAGAGCTGCTAGTAAAATCTAGATTAAAACCTCCAACAACCTTCCATGCTGCCTGTCTGTGGCTTAGAGAACGATTTCATCCAGCCCCATGTGTCTCTGTGTGGCCTCTATTCAACCCAGACTTTTCACTTAAAATCCTCAGCGTTTATGATTCGTCCGTCTCTCTCCACTGCAGATAACCCCGGCTGTAATACCACGGTCTGGCAGGGCGCCAAGAGCCAAGAAGATTTAGTCCACATCACCAACAATCACAATGAAGGTAAATAGGAAATAAATGGGTTAAGCTCATCTGTGTGCCAGCAGTCATTTGGAGTCTCAGCGTGATGTCTGAAGATGCTGGCCAGTGGGTTTCCAACCAGTTCAGCACCCAAATCACTCCCCAAACTACTGGGTGTTAAATCATGGTACGCAGCAGTGACCACACATTTAGAACTGGGCTTTTTTCTGATGCGAGGTTCACAACAGTTGTTTAATATCAGTGGTACAAAACAACTTACTCACCACTGCTCAGGAGTTTTAAACTATAGGAACAGAGCAGCTCATAAATAAATCACCTGCCTGAGTTCAGTTACTTACTGTTGGCGGTTGTGGTCTTTCTTTTGGTTTTCTCAGTGTTTCACTACTGTGATGATAAACTGTTTACTGTTATATTTTATGTCTCCTCTAGAGACGAGGAAAACTAAACACAGAACAGAAACTAAAGGAGGGAAAGGAGCTCATCATTCTGGCACAAAGAAAAAGGAGAAACTGCCAACGAGTCAGGTGAGAGTCACAACCAGTTTCACTTACTGAAAATCTTTCTTCATGCAACATGGTGTGAAATGTTGTTAACACATTTTTTGATGACGGTGCAGTTTACATAAAAAATATATTTAATAACCAAGTGGAACAGCTTGTTATTTTACTGTTTATAGTTCAGTAGCTTTGAGGGAAACCAAATCCAAACAGCAGCCACAAAGACCAAAGCAAAGTGGTTAGACAGAGCATGTTCCTGTTGTTGAGTTTCTATTCTGCCTCTGTTGCCATAATGAGTCAGAACACCAGGGGCGTTTCAAGAGACTTTGGGGGCTCCAGGGTAAAAGGGACTCATTAAACTGGGGGGCCTGGTTCAGGGTTTTCTGATCACGGTATTGTTGCCGTCTCTTGTACATAGGTGATTGTAGAATTCCATTGTTTGCATTAAGACAATCAGGCTTTCTCGAGGACCCTCTGTCTGCTTTCACTATCCTTTAGCAAACCCCCCTGTGAGAATAACCTGCAGCACTATTTTTAATACAGCACTCAATAAATAAATAAATAAGAGTTATTGAAGCACCTGTACCAACCTGTTGCTGCATTAGATGTAGAAACAGGAGAGGACCTAAATGCAGAAGCTGAGAGGCACAGGAAAGGGTAAGATCGAGAAGAAGAGAGAATTTAATCAAACAGACTTTTGAAGCTGCTTGGTAGGCACTCAGAAAAAAAAAATCACAGGCAGTGAAACAGAAATAACTCAGGGGGAGGAACTTGGCAGGAACAAACAGAAAGTGAACATATGAACTGACAAAGACAAAGGGAAATACAAAGGCTGAAACCAGCCACTGACCCACCAACCCCTCCTTCACAATATAGGGACTACTCTGTACAGTGTAGTGAGCTCATTGGCAAAAGAAACAAAACGGTTTTGAACAGTATTCTGCACATTTTCTCTGCACTGGTAATTACGTTATTATCGCAGGATTATGGCGTTCAACAACAATAACATCAATAAATCCCACAATAAATTTTAAATATTAATTTGACACTTTTAATGATTTCAGATAAAATGCACGTTGAATGATTATAGTTTAAATGTAGAATTAAACTTGTTTGCTGCAGTTTGTGCTGTGATGCGCTGCTCATATTTACATTTGTATGACAGGTCGGGCTGTTCCCGCTTCTCCCTCCCCTCCCGCCTCTCTGCCGTGAGCGCAATGCATGATGGTACATATTGCTTGGTTAGTGACCATTGGTTGTACACTCCTTTTACAATGCATTGTGGGAAACAATGAGGGTTATATATACGGTAAACAGAACCCCACCAAACATTCGGACAGCACAAAAAAATTACAAACTCCCTAAATAGTGGATTATGAAGTGATTAGTGAGAGAGACACAGCCAGAGACTACACACAGAAGGGAGGCAGAGGTATTGAACACAGGTGAAACACAGTGAAACAGGTGTAGACGATCACAGGAGCAGGAAACAGGACAAAGACACAAAGTAAATCAAGAGTCACTCAACAAGCACAAACAAGTTTCAAAATAAAACAGGAAATTAAGAACTAAGACTGCTTACAATGACAAATCCAGTCCTTAAAATGAGTCAAATAACTTTCTTAAAAAAGTCCAAACCCCAGCGGTCTCTTTAAAGTCAATAAGGTGACAGTTCATGACAGCAGAAGTGTGAGAGACTGTTCTCATTACACATCAGACTGTTTTGTGTTGAGGGGTCTGAAACTGCCACCTGCTTTTAACATCCAGAGAGCCTCTGGTGGCCTAAATGGCCACAATCATTTTACACAAATGCTGATTAAGTTTTAATACAGTGCAGATGGTCCAAAGAGGGGTACTGCGCTCAAAGTAATCTCTGGGCCACATGGTGTGTGTGTGTGTGTGTGTGTGTTTGGGGTGATGAGGGTTTAGAGGCCTTATGCCAGGACACCCAGTGACCATTTCAACTAAAGCCCATCATAGTGAGAAGCAAACAAAGCAGAGTCTGCCAGTTCTGGATCAGCAGTTGTTTGCAATGCCTAAAAAAGCGGAAATAAAAAATTAAAAAAAAAACAGAGACCAAGTATTTGATGAAAAAAAAGCTTTGACCTGACAATTGGGCTGGATTGAAAAGGAGTGGACATTCACTGCCAGACAACTAGAATCGCTTAAAGCTGGGTTTGGTAATGCAGGAAAAAAAAGCTTCTCATCAAAGCTTCCCTCCTTTTTTTAGTGAGGGCGCCTCGTGCACACAGGCAGGCAGTTCTGTTAGTGTAGAGTAAGTCTGAATCGATTCTTAGTTTTCCATGAGTGTGAATGGTTGTTGTCTCTGTATGTTGGCCCTGTGATACGCTTGCAATCTGTCCAGGGTGGCTCCCACCTCTTGCCCAATACCAGCTGGATTTGGCTCCACCTCCTCCCATGACCCTCAAAGGATAAGCTGTATAAAAAAATGAATGAATATGTGGAAATCAGAAGAGGTGTAACATCTTTTACAGATTTAGGTATTTGATTATTTACATGTGGGATGTGTATTGCATCTTACCAGAGTGTCCATGTGGTGCCAGAGTCTAAACCTGCATTCAAAAGAAGCCAAAAGACGGGAAAGAAACCAGCTGGGAAGAGCGGGAAAGAGGCGTCAAAGAAAAGTCACAAGTCCACAGGTAAGACAGCTTTCCACAAAACTTCAAACATTAAGATATGTCTCCATGTTCCTCTGATCAAACTGTCCTCTGACATTTCTCACCTCTCTATGTACAAGCTATGACTACATTTCTATAGTGCTTCCAGAGAAAACAGGCCGATGATGCATTTGTCAAAACTGTAAAAGAAAAAAAAGGTTGTGACTTCTTTCTTTTTCCTGTTTTAGATTTTCAAGTAACACCTCTGCTTTTAAGCTTTGCAACAACTTCAGTGTAGGCGTCTGTGGTGTCACAGGTTTACAGGCAGCTGCTTTATGGTGAACAAGTATCCACTAATAGTAGTTAGAAATGCAAAGGAGACACCAGAGAACTCGGCTGCTTAAACATGTGAAGTGAAAACAGACAAACAGAAAAATCATCCCAATGGTTTGGATCTGCACCAAATTGCACACACTCATAAATATCAGTTCCCTAAATGATATTTTTCATCAAGATCCATTCATTATTCTCTGAAAGTGAAAATGTAAGGGTTTCTTCTTTGGGACATGTCCTATCCCTCCAAACCATCAAACAAACTAACAAAGGCAAATTAAAAGATGACCTCCTTTGCGGAGGTAATGATGAATCCATCCATGACAATTCACTGCTTCGCTCTCAGGAAGTTGATAAATGTCACTTTTCTCTCACTCTGTCTTCTCTCTCAGTTCACTCCCCACCCACTTCCATTAGCCCACCAATGGGACCCCACTATCTGGATGTTCCGTACAGATCAGACAGGAGGCCTTACCTTGGCAAGTCATCCACCCTCCCCTCTCAGGAGAACACGACGCCAGGCCGCTGCACGGATATGACCAGCCTACCGGGTGGTGCGACTCCCACCCACGCCTACCACCAGCGCTGGAGTAACCCAGGTGACAGCAGTCCATCCTGGGGGACTGTCCAGCACACCTGTCGCAGACCACTCACAGAGTACCGCATGTACTCTCATGAATTCACCCCAGCCAATGGGAAGGAGTGGGAGGAAAGACAAGAGCAGGACCAGGATATCAGCTTGAAACAGGACTGTAAACCCCAGATTTCCCCAAAGGTGTCACGGTCTGTCACTGACTTGGATCTGTCAGAACCAGACGTAAGTTGATTCTGATATTTTGTGTTTTTAGTCCAGGAAAAAAGTGGGTCTCCTCAAGATTCTGCAATATTATAGGTCAGTTATGCTAATTGAAATCGTTTTCAAGCCTCCACGTAAACGACAGCTAATGGCTGGAGGCATTATGACTTTGGTTGTCCGTCCCATTCTTGTGAATACGATAACTCAAAAACATTCAGAAAGGATTTCTTCAAATTTGGTGCAAACCTTCAGTTGAACTCAAGGATGAACTGTTAAGATTATAATGGTCGGAGGTTAAAGGACAAGGTCGCTGTGACCTCACAAACTAAACTTTTTGTGTTGTGCGCATGGTATCTCAGGAAAAACCTCCAGAGAATCCTTAGAAATTAGCTCACGTAGACTCAGCGATTAAATAATAAAATGTCAGAGGTCAAAGGACAAGTGGCCTCATAAAACACGTTTTTGGTCTCTTGAACATCACATCTCAAGTGGACTCAAAGATTAACTGATGTGATTTCAGGGGTCAAGGGTCACAGTGACCTTATAAGAGTCTGGATTTTATTTTTAAGTGGACTGAAACTGCACTTGTTGGCAGAGGCATACTACACCAGGGCGGTAATTCTAGTTGCTCTCTGTAATCACTCCTCCCATCTGTATTGGCCATGAAGTGGTACCGTCCTAATTGGATTTCACTGTGATTGATGCAGGATAAAAGCCAAAGACTTAATTCTGTACAGAAATCCATTGGAAGTGTACTTTGAGTATTCCTGCTTGACTTGCTTTATGTTTCACTCAGACTGCTTCTCTTAGTTTGGGTTTACTTTGGGAAGGAGTCTTGTTTTGGCCCAGATTTGGCTCACATCCCACAAACCACATAGAATGATGGCACTATAAGGCCAGCTCCTGTTTGCCAGAACTGGGCAACAAGCCATGGCAATACCGTTGACTCTTTGTCAACCAAAGGTGCAAAAGTTGTGTTGTGCTATGTGGGCCATATTCACCATTTATGAAATGGAACACTTTAGGTTAGCATCCAGATTACACCTTGCTGAGAGCACAGCATGTTTACCAAAGAGACCCATATATGTTTTGGGTTTTTTAAGCCACATTTCCTATTTACAAGTGTCTCTCATTCAATTTGTTTGGACCACAAGAAGTCCAGAAGTGTTGCATCAAGTGGCCCACATCCATATGCTATCTGGAAAAAAAGATTGTGAACATAGTTTTAAGACAGACTTTAAAAGATGTAAGCCTATCTATTCAATGTGAAAGGTTGTCTCCTAGTTTAAATTAATATCTGAATTAAAGTGAAACTCTCTCAGTGGGAATGTTTTTCAGTCAGTTGCAGTTCAGTGCAGTGAGGTCAGAGGTCACTCAGTGCTTATACCACACAATAGAGCTGTTTGACCCAAGAGGTCAAAGCCTTTGCGTGCTCTCAAAGCATAAGACCCCAACCGATATCCAGCAAACACGTGCATTGTGACACAAAGCAGTGGTTAAAGCTTAACATGACTTGGGAGAAAATTGTCTCAGATGAAAAGGATGATCCGGAGTAGAGATTACAAGATCCCTATGGATCTATAGTGTCAATGGTTCTTAGAGACAAATGTCATTTCATTAGACATAAAGCCTCTTAAGCGTATAGAGGTGGTGTGGAGTTTATGCCGCTCGTCATACACTGAATAGACAAAATAACACTCAACACACTTGGTTTTGCTCTGCTCTTCTTTCAGTGTGAATATTTCACCTCTTGGCACATGGTCAAATTATTCTGATGTTTCACACACAGTTATTATAATGCTTTATATCAGTTATATCATTAAGTTATCTTAGAAAAAGCAAACTGTCATCATAGTTCTCACGTCGTTCAAAAAATAACTGGAACGTAATCTTCCTAATAATAATGACAAATATGAAAAACCCTCTCTCTGAATCCTAGAAAGCATCAACAAAACCCAGGTGACTTTGAGAAACAGTAGATTGTTAGATAGATAGAACTCTTCAGATGAACAACGTCCTCTCCAGGCAGTCTAGAGGCTACGAAGTAATAGGTTAGAAGCTTTTATCTGGATTGACAGGCATTTCCGGCTGATTGCAAGCAGCAGGATTAGCAATGTTTTTGTCTTTGGAATTCCTTTTTCTTCATCTGACTGATTCAAACTCTCATTGATGTAAACACAGTGGCAAATCCCCCCACATTGCAACAGGAGAACCATGACTGACAGCGATGTAAGATCCTGAGCAGAGTCAAACCCAATCCTACTGTCACATTCACTGGGGAGGCCATGATTTGTAAAGAGGTGACAGGTGGTTGCTTTATGATTGAGAGAGGACAGAGAGCAGAAATAAACAGGAAAAGGTTTCGAAACAACAAAGTTGCCATTTTCAGCTGTTCCTCTGTCGTACATCAGCACTTCCTCAACGTACTGACCCCACATTAAGAAATAAATGTAATTTGTGATTACATAATTTACAAAACCAACTGCCCCATTTGTAATAAAGCTAAATCTTGAGGGATAATTAAATTAGAACTGATTTGAATCTAGATATGTATATTTTACCCATGCCATTAAAAAATAAAAAAAGCTGTTAAGGCCATGCAGAATAAACAATATATTCAGGGAGAAACTTTATGAGTCACTCCTGTCATTGTTATACTGCTTAACCAACCAAAGAAATAGCATAACAATGTGACTCAAGCTCATCTTCACCAGGATATCTCATATCTAATAACACTTGAAAATAACTAATTTACATCATTGACAAACGTAAACGTTGTTCCTGGAAGAAGATCTTAAAGATTTCAATGAACGGGCCACAAAATGCACACTCAAGCACTTGTGTTTTTCCCTTTCAAAGCAAAAGTGCAGCAAGACGCTATGTGTCAATTGCCTCACATCCTGTATGTCGTAAGGAAGTGGGCCAGCCAGCACATCAGTCAGCCAGCATTCAGTGTTAATGTGTCAGTTAACACTTTACTTTCAGGGGAGAGTGGGGTAAAAGAAACGAGAAGAGAAAAGATTGATATTTTTGATTAAAAAATAATAGAAAATGTTACAGAGGGCGACATCCAATGTGTCAGACAAAGCAAAGAGCAGCAAACCAAAGGTAGGTGAAAATATGCATAGAAATGTGGAGCCAGGGAAGATGTTGAAATTTATGTTCACACATAAATTCAGGGTCTGACAGAGGTCGTTGTTGTAATGTCTTCTGTGCAAATTAGGTCTGGTTGTACTTGATATTACTTTGTAATGTAAATCATTTTTTATACATTCAGGGTTTATGGATCATTTATAATTTTTAAAATACTGATGCCTCTCACAGACTAGATGGCAGGTTTTTGCACACAGATATAATGAAAAGTATTTTTCATGTTTCATACTGTTAAACAAACAATGACAATAAAATGAATACTGTGTCATAACAGAAAAATAATTACGGTAAAGAATTGCTTTGAAACAAAATCCTTTGATACTGCTGCAGCGTTTGTGGACAGGGGAGTGAAACGTGGGCCTGTCTGTCAAAATAGACGGCGCAGCATTAAATCAATCCACAGTGAGCTGTCTAGGAGTTCATATTTAACCAGGATTTCCAGGGATTATTGGTTTATATAATTATTTTTGGTGCTCTGCCGTGGAGATGATGGGTGGTTTGGTGGATTATAATGACATTTAGTTTATGAAAAATGTGGGAGGAAGACAATTGGAGAAACAATTAAAAAAGCCACTGTGAGTGAATTTTGCCAGTAATAACAAAATGATAATAACAAGTAAAAATGAAGGACAGATAATGTGTGTTTTAGTTTAATTTTTAAGTCATTTATCCTTCTTTTTTAAATGCAGGTAGGTTTGTGAGTGCACTTGTATGGAGACAAATGTGTGTGTGTGGGGTTGCAACAGATCTCCTCTGTGCCTTGACGCACACAGTGACTTGACATTATGTAACGCTGGTAAATCTTGCTAAACAAAGTATGACAGACTTCTTTATGACATCTTTCCTTCTTGTTTTTTAAATCCTCCCCGCAGCGCTCCACGAGCTTCGGCAGGTTCGAGGGTCTCAGACAACCCTTCTCACATGCCAAACCAGAAGAGAATGGCACAAACATGGTGCGTAAATATATTTGTTTAAACTTTAGAAATATTACAACAAGAATAGGTTCATACCGGGTAAAAGCTTTTGTGGCACAGGATATGTTGCACTTTATGGAAAATTTGTATAAATAGTGGACAAAAGATGAGGAGATGGGAGAAATATTAGCAGCTACAGAATGGTCCTAATCTGTTGTCTTTACTGAACCAACTTTCTGCCCACAGGTCGTGGAAGAATGTGAAAGTTCAGACCCTAACAAAGCAGTTGGACTTGGGAAGAAGATGAAGGCTATTTCACTAACCATGCGCAGAAAAATGGGCAAAAAACACGCCAAGTATTTCTCTGAGGAGCCGGTAAGTCACTGGAAAAAAACTGAACGCACACACACACAAACACACAGACACACACCATCATGCACCATGAATACAGCTCCTAATTATTTGTGTCCATAAATCATTCATTCAAGTGTAAACATCACTATTTGGTAAATAGACTGTATTTATATCTTCTCTAATCGGCCACTCAAGGCACTTTACACTACAAACCATTCACCAATTTAGACGCCCAGTCATAAAGGGGTACTATACACTGCACTTTGATCACACAATGTTGGCACAGGGGGCATTTTGGTTTAGTATCTGGCCATTTGGTTTGCAGGCTGACCCACAGTCGCCCCCAGCAACCCTAATCATACACGCAAACCCATCAAACCATCTTGATACGCAGGAAAGGTCCAGACTCACTGATGATCAGTGTCAGTTACAGCAAACCTGTGTTGTTTTTCTGAAGAACCTTGATCTCACATAAACCCACATCCTTATTGATGACGCTGCTGCTGCTGCTGTTGACAAGCCTCACACTGACATACACCACAAAGTGTCCTGCTGTACTTTTTCAGTTTTATTCGAATGATGATACAAAGACGAATCTTTTCAGTAGCAACTTACATCTCCAGCTGAAATTTCAGTTTCATTGTTGTTTCTCATATGCACATTTCATTCAGCTCTTTACAGTGTTAGTCTGTTTTATATAACATGCCTCCCAAGTAAAACTGTACGTTTTGAGCAGTACGTGTTTTTCTCTCTGCAGGGTGACGACACAGATAAAGATCCGGAGGCAGAAGCAGAGAGAAGCACTGCAGCTGAGAAAGACCACGCAAAGACAAATAACTCCTTAGAGAGTCTGTACAGTGGCCAGAGCACCTCCAGTGAGTATCTGCACATAGAGGATCCTGCACAGAACACAGGGTTGTTTTATCACCATCACTGTGTAATGACACTGTGTTTGTGGGTTCAGGTGGTGTGACCAGTGAGTCCAATGGTTCTGCTCAGAAAGACAGTGTGAGGCTGGAGGAGGACGGATCCTACCAGGGACAGTTCTGTGGCAGATGTCGTGTCCAAGCAGATTTTGTTCCAAGCCCGTATGACACGGATTCCCTCAAACTTAAGGTGACACACACACACACACACACACACACACACACACACACACACACACACACACACACACTCCAGCAATCTTTGTGTCCTACAGACTCTGCTTCTTGTAAAGATAACTATAATCCTTCAAACAACAAGGTGAAGCATCCCAGCTGAACTTCAATTCACATCCTGTTATTCTTTTCCTAGGTGGGTGACATCATCGACATCATCAGTAAGCCCCCGATGGGCATCTGGACGGGCATGCTGAACAACAAAGTGGGAAACTTCAAGTTCATCTACGTAGACGTTTTAGTGGAGAAAGAGGAGGAGGAAGAAGAAGAAGTTCCAAAGATCAGACAGCAGAGGCTTTGCAAAAGACCTCGACCTAAAACGCTACTGGAGTTATTGGAGCGACTGAATCTGGAGGTGAGGGGGCGTGCTTTTTTTTTTTCAACCTCCCATACCTGATGTTATCAACCCTCTGTTTTTCCCCCGCTTTGGAAGACAAACACTGCATATGTTAACACCTGATCTGAAACCTGATGTCGGTTTTTTTAATTGAAGTTTGCTTTGGGCTTTGCAGGAGTACGCCTCTGCCTTGCTGCTCAATGGCTATCAGACGGTGGAGGACCTGATGCACCTGCAAGAGAAACACTTGATAGAGCTGAACGTCAAAGACCCAGAGCACAGACAAAGACTTCTGGCTGCTGCTGAGTGCCGCTACACAGAAGGTTAGGAACACACCAAACTATAACTACGACAAATGATTTTAATACCAAATAGCTGTGTCTCAATTCAGGGTCTACATCCTGAAGAGGCTGCATTTGAAGCCCAATTGCGTCACAGCGGCAAAACTAGGCCGTGTCATTTCGAAAAGCACCTTCAAATGTGTCCCTTTTATTCCTTATGCTGATCACGTAAACCCTCTGTAGACCAGACCACTGTATAGGAACTGTAATAGGAACTCTGAAGGATGCAGCCCCTGAATTGAGACACATGGTTATGTCTCGGTTCATTCATCAATGTGGTGTAAATATCTCAAACCTTTAAAAACAAAATAAACCATGGGATCTATTCTCATTAAGAGGATAAAATAAACATAATGTAAAAATTCAAGGCTGAGCCATAGGAAAGCAGGCCCCACGCTGGAGGCCTCTCACCTGTCTCAGGCAAGGTAAACCTCAATGATGATTGGTTTCATCACTCTGGTTTTTTACAAATGCTAAATGGCTGTATGTCTTTTGCAGGTGTCTGTAAGTGTTTATGTTCAATAAACCACTATAAAACTATAGTGTGCCTGTGAACAGGCTTCCTGTCACCATGAGAGCACTTATTCCCCAATCAGTTTTTTTACTGCACATTGTTCTACATACAAACTGTGTTCTAGTTCTACACAATCTACAACAAAGTGACAGCGAGGGCAGCACAAAAATAAGAGTTTGTTCTGATGAGGTCTTTGTCACCTTAACGTTGCATCCTCGGCTACTTTGATCACTTCCTGCAGCTCATATTGCCGGGTGTAAGATCACTTTGTTTTTTCTGACATTTAAAATGCATTCCTCTGGCTTTCCTTGTCACGTCTTTGCCGTTTGTCGCTACATTCTCTTATTGATCAGCGGTTTGTCACTGCTGTGCAATGAATCCTGGGATAGGTTTGCCTGCGTAGGATCCACCCCATGGATCCTTCATTGCTTGAGAAAGATAAAACATATTCCACCACAGCTTCTGAAATAGTAGTCGCACTGCTGTGATGTAATCGGTCATAAAATGCGCCTGAGGAGGCCCCTGATGAGGCCCCTGATGAGGCCCCTGCCTCAAACCATTTTATTACATCAGCACAGCTTTCACAGTCCTTACTGATCAGTTAGTCATGTGTTTATGAATGTGACACACCTGTGTGACCATACACACCTCAGTAGTGTTCAGCCAATCAGAAACAGTCCACTTAAGCAACCACTTTATAATCCAGTTGATCCGGATTGTAATTGTGGATCTGCACCAAATCACACACACTCATAAATATCACTCCCCGAAACAGGCACAATTTTTTTCATCAAGAACCATTTATTATTTTTATTGGAAATTGGCGAAGATGTCAGAAACGAAAACACTTGCAGTTTTTAAGAAGGTGATTAAAGCTCTGCACCAAAAGTTAGTGAGTTCTTCTTTGACCAATGTCCTTCCACCAAATTTCAATGAAATTGCATCTTTTTGCACAATAGAAAGAATCGAATTGAAAGAACAAAGTGTACATAATATATCACAGTAATAATAATAATAATAATATAACACTGTATAGTCCATAGTATAATCCATAGTAGTTTTGGCTTCAAGTGTCATTTTTTGTATATTGATTTTAATCCTGCTAAAGGATTACACAGCTGTGAAAACATTGTCTGAAACTCAACTTTATTTTACTGAAAAAAAATAAACCTTTCAAATCCAAACACAACTATGAACAAAACAAATGCGTTTCTTTTGTTGACGTCGTACTAACGACGTGAAACAGCAGGTGGAAGCTGAAAGGTTTGTGGAACGCTGAATAGAAAGACATCCTGCACACTGTGAGAGGCTTATCAGTGATTTCCTGTTACTCAGATAGAAAGTGCTTAAGAGGGCAGAAGCTGTTCCAGTAATCTTGAAGCAGAAGGCTGATTATCGCAGAGCGCTGCATGAATGATGTAAAACAATACTTTCCCAGAAGAAGGAAGAAGCAGCATTCACTGGCTGGTTCAGTTCTGTGTGTGTGTGTGTTATTGTGTGTGTGATTGTATGTGTGTTAGCTATACTGCATGTAACCTTAGTAGGTTTATACGAGGCAAATAAGAGGTCATTGTCATTTTTCCTGTTTGGGCAACAGTTTGACTAAACAGATGGCAGTTGTGGCGTGACCCTGCCTGCCTCACGGGAGATGCCAGTAATTTAATCAAGCTGAACTCCATTAGATAGTGCTTTGGCAACATGGACGTGAGGATTAGTAGCTTCTGTCAAGGAGGTAGAAATATTAAAGAATGGTGCCTTTGCAGTCAAATTAATGCACATTGCTTTTGCTATAACAGCAATAAATCAAAAATGTCAAAGAGCTCCATCCTTTCACGTCTAAATGTGACTTTATTTTCCACTTGGCACAGATTTAAACTTCTCTCATGTGGTTGGAAACAAAACCTGTCAGAGTATGTCATGTAATTTAATTCCACTTTGTCGTGTGGCTGCAGGTGATGATGTCAGGGACGTGGAGGAGCACAAATCCTCCCACAGTCAAAAAGAAGAAGACAGCGACTGTCCCAGAGACTCGGGCTGCTTCATCCCGTCAGAATGTTCAGACAGCAAAGACGACGCCGAGCAGCTCACAGACGGCGGGGACTTGTAATCTGCTCGTTTTGGGCTTTAAGTGTGTGATATTTTCTTATGACTGATGGTTTTAATAATTCATGTCATTAATGCTGTGTTAATATCGTCATACCAGCAAGCCACAAGCTACAGCTAATATAGAAAGAACAAACAACCAGTACTCTAAATGTCATCTCATGCATTTGTCATTTCATTAAGATCATAATAAACATAATAAGAGTTTTTTATATAAAACATTTCATGTTGTTAAGGAAGTGGCGTGTCACTGATTTAATGTCACTTGTAATTATAGCATTTACAATCATTCAGTGTTATTACATGTACTGCCTTTATATATCACTTTAACCCTCCTCATCACATCTAGTCTCAATTCAACATCCAGCATCATCTTTTCTTTTCCCGTGTGTGGTATTGTTGAAGGGATGTTTTTTTTTTAATAATATAAACTGTACAAGTTGCATGTATGATGTAAAAGACATATGTCACTTTTTGAATGTGTGTGTGTGAGAGTGTGTGAGAAAGAGCCTGTATATGAAGCCATTTATCTGTTTCCACAACCTTTTTGTAAATAAAATAAAATAAATACGCTTACATTTATTTTTAGTTACTAGTGTATTTGTATTTGGAATTATTTCACCAACCACAACCTAATATATCACTGCTGGACACATAACCAGGCATTAATGAACTTTAACAGAGTTTTTAAAACTTTAATTCATTGTGTTAACAATATAATATATACAATATATATGATACATGTAATAATAATTCATAAATGTTATCAAAATATTATAATATTTAATTTAATTATTATTATGATTACATTCACTATTCCCTATATTACATTTTTGTTTTTATACTTGTCTTTTTTACATTTTATTCTAATGTTTTTTTTTTAGTTTTTTTGTTCTTTAGAAATAATATGTTTTTTAACCTCGACTGCTCAGGACCTGCCTGGTTGGCTGAAAACACGGAAACGTCACGAAACTTTCTAAGTACGTGACATGTCGCACGCGTTCATGGGAAATGTAGTGTACAGCTAAAATCTGCTGCCCTATTCAAAGAGAACGCGCTGCGTGACAAAAACTACATTACCCAGACAGCACCGGGGGGGCTGTGTAACGTTGACGTGTGTTTTGCCGCTGGTCTGGAGAAGTCTCCTCCAGCTGTGGAAGCTTCGCTCCATTTAAACTCAGCTGACTCCGACATTTTGACACGTTTCAGCGGCGCGAGGCTTCGACACAGTGCGAGACAATGTCCGGAGAAGTTTCTATGATCGGTAAGTTAACGGAGATGTCCCTCCTCCCGGTAACTCGCCGGTGTTTGGATGCTAACACATGTGCTAACTGTGTCGTCACCGGTCCGCAGGCTCCGTCATCCTGGCCCTGTTCCTGGCCGGGTACCTGGGCCAGCAGTACCTTCCTCCCCCCAAACCCAGAGTCATCGGCCTGGACCTGGGCACCACCTTCTGCTCCGTGGGCGTCTTCCACCCGGGCAGCGGGGAGGTGGAGGTGTTGGCGGATGAGGAAGGGAGGAAGAGCATCCCCAGCGCCGTCTCCTTCACGACCACCGCGGTGCTGGCCGGACACGATGCCGTGGACCTGGCCGACACCAACCCACAGAACACCGTGTACGACGCCAAGAGGTTCATCGGGAAGATATTTGACCCGGAGCTGATGGAGCAGGAGAGCGCCCGCTACCCGTTCAAGGTGGGTCTTGTTGGGGCAGGTGGGTGAGCAGTGGTCTCTGGGCTGTGGAGCTGATTTCAATGAAGTCAGTAGAGAATCTTCTAGTAGATCTCTCTCTCTCTCTCTCTCTCTCTCTCTCTCTCTCTCTCTCTCTCTCTCTCTCACACACACACACACACACACACACACACACACACACTTTAATACTTAACTTGTTTAGAAAGCAGACAAAATCTAACCAAAACGTTTTGATAGATTCCTCCTCATCTGCTCTTCTGAAATCATCTCTCCTTGTTTACTCTCCTCCTCCTCCTCCTCCTCCTGCAGGTGATTAACAACAATGGAAGTGCAGAGTTTCTGATCTCCACCAATCAAACCTTCACCGTGAGCCCGGAGTTCATCGGCTCCAGGCTGTTGCTGAAGATGAGAAAGATGGCTGAGAGGCAGCTGGGTGTGCCGATCCAGAACGCTGTCATCTCCGTGCCCGCAGAGTTTGACGAGAGACAGAGGAACTTCACCGTCAGGGCCGCCAACCTCGCCGGTCAGTCCTTTAACGGTTTTATAAGGATGTTAGATGACAAACCCCATCCAGACTCCTGAGTCCAACACTCACTTGAGATCCATGATAGCCTCTCTCTCCTCATTAAACATACAAGGTCCATACATGATATGTAACGGGGATGTTTTTCACACTGACTTCCTCTTTACTGTCTTGCAGGCTTGGAGATCCTGCGAGTGATAAACGAGCCCACGGCTGCTGCCATGGCCTACGGCCTGCACAAGGTGGACGTCTTTAACGTGCTGGTGGTCGATCTAGGGGGAGGAACGCTGGATGTGTCTCTGCTTAACAAACAGGGAGGCATGTTCCTCACCAGAGCCATGGCAGGTAAGTGCTTCACTAATCTAGTAATTCAAAACAATAGAAAGTGACATGAAGTCATTGTGGTTGCACAGCAAAGGACTAAAGTGACAATCTAAAAGACCCTGTTGGGACCTGGTATTAACATCCTGAGGGATCTGATCACATGTGGTCAGCGCTAAGTCATCCCGCACCAAATGTGACCTGAGATGAGGTCACAGAGGTTGATACCACAGGGCCCATGATAACGGTCCTGGCTCTCTGGCAACACCTGTAGTTTGTGTTGGTGACAGCAACTGTGTTTTGATACAACAGGTCACAGATTACTGGCATCAGCAAAACCAACTGATGTTGTCTTGATAAAGAAGTCAGAAAGTATTGGCTGTTTTCCATCATTCTATCTGGAACAGTCATCTGATCATATGCTGCACAAAGCAATGGAAAATGAGTTGGTTATGAAAGCATGAGGTGTGTAGCCCGTCGCCCGCAGCTCTTCAGCTAATTGTTTGGCTACTCCCTGCAAAGATGTGTTATATATTTCTTGCACATTTGGAGTATGGGAAACGCAATTTCAATCCTCTGTGTAACTACCTGGTGCTTTGTTTGGTTGACAATAAAGTTCACTAAGACTAAGACAATGACTGATCCTCTGCCAAAAAATGTCACTGTTTTCTTTTGATAAATATTTTTAATGAGCAGTAGCATTAAGTACCTAGAAAACTGTGTCACTCATCACAGGATGGCACACGTGTCCCACTGAACATAGAAAGCTCAAATAATAGTTTGTCTCCTATGCATGTAAGCAGATGTCCCATTTTAAAATGCAGAATTTAACTGCACACGACCCAAGAGGTTGTCAGTGTCTCCATCATTGTTTCTAAACGTCTCAGTTTCTGTTTGTCCACACAAAATGGCACCAGCAGCTAAAACTCTGTGGCGGTGTAGTGGTGTATGTGTGGTGGAGTTTTAAAAGGAAAACATAACACTGTGGATTTAGCCTTAGATAGCCTTTATTGAAACGTCTCTGAAATGAACAAAACACTGTAAATAAGCTGATGGGATTTTTGCAGGAAACAACAAGCTGGGGGGTCAAGACTTCAGCCAGAGGTTGCTCCAGTACACTATGGAGCGAGTCTGGCAGGAGTTTGGCGTCCAACCCACTCTCAAAGAGGACATTCACCATCTCCGACAGGCTGTGGAGGCCGCAAAGCTCAACCTCACCCTCCAGCCCAGCGTCACGATCGCAGTGCCGCTGCACCTTCAAATCCACGGTAGCGCGGAGTCGCCCGAAGGCTCCGTTCCTGCTCCGGTTCTCTTTCAGGCCGTGATCCATCGCGATCTGTTTGAGGAGCTCAACGAGGACCTTTTCAAGAAGATCCTGGCTCCTGTGGAGACGGTGTTGGCTGAGGGCCGCCTGGAGAAAGAGGATGTAGATGAGATCGTTCTGGTCGGAGGCTCCACGAGGATCCCGCGGATCAGGAGGCTGATCAGTGAGTACTTTGGGAAGGAGCCCAACACGTCTGTCGACCCTGACCTGGCTGTGGTGACAGGTGTGGCCATTCAGGCGGGAATCATGGGCGGCTCCTGGCCACTGCAAGTGAGCGCTATAGAAATACCCAACAGACACCTGCGCAAGACGAACTTCAGCTAATCTTCACAAGGCTAATGTGTTAAGATAAAAAGGGATGAAACAGACTGGCCACAGAATCCTCGCTGTGTCAGACGTCTCTATTGTGCTTAATGTAAATTCTGCTGATCACACACACAAGACGTTCAGGTTTTCATCGTCTCCTTCTTTCTTATTCGTGAGAGATTTCAGTAACAGACGTAAAAAAAATGCAGATGATGTACTGAAACACGCCGACTGTCCTCTTTGACGTGCAGTGATCGTTAGAACATCTGCACAAGTCAACATTCCTCCTCACTTTCACAGTTACGGCTGCTTTTGTCGTGTCGAAGTTTCAGCAGAAAGACACAGCGAGTCTCTGAAATGTGAAAGAGACGTTTCTCTGTCGTGTGTCTACTTAGATGGAGTGTGATTCAGGGAACCACCACTCGTTAAAAGAACGTAGAGACGAATCAGTGCATCATCATCATCAGCTATTTATTTATTTATTGTCATTAACTGTGTGTACGTGCCTGTGTGTGTGTGTGTGTGTGTACGTGTGTGTGCGCGTGTGTGTATGTATGTGTGAAGGTGTTTTACAGGCCTTAATTCCATTTTCACATCTTCTCATTGAAGGCTGATGTACAGTGTGTTTGTGCCTTTTCAGAAAGCTGCTATACTCTGAACTGAACCCAACCGCTGTGATTTAGTGGTTCACACAGAGACCTCTTTTCCAGAACCATGAAATGATCCCATGTCCACTAGAATACATTTAAATATGTAAACAATTAATTTATTACAAATTAACTTTAATACTCACAAGAGTGCTCGTCTGATAACTAATGAATCCTGTCAGGTGCAGAGGCAGCAGCAAACAGGAGACTGCATGTTGTTAATGTTCACACAGGACTGTGAATTAGCACCATGAGTAAATTCACTTTTAGTGCTGCAAGTTTCAGTACAACACTGTATTAGTTTCATATTGAAGAAAGTTGTAATATTACAAGAATAAAGTTGTAATATTACGAGAATAATACTTGGTGCTGATGAGCAAAAAGATTGAGCGGGAGGTATTTTCTTATACGTGAAACCTTTACTAAGGTTTAACTTAAAAATAAAAAGAATGACTATTTTTGTAATAGTATTATGACTTTGTTCATGTTATACTATGATTTATTTTCTCTGTCGTATTCCAGGACTTGCTTATGCGGCATGCTTTATGTTTGCTATATTTAAAGTAAGATGACTTGCACAACACTGCACACGTGTTGGAAACACCAGGTTTTTTTGCTGCTGTAGGAAGAGAAGGTCGACTCTCCCATAGGACCAAAGCATTGCTTTCTGCTGCCTTACGTAATGATACTGAGAAACATGTTACTGTCACACACATGATGTTTGATCTTTCTTTGAAAGAATGAAACCCAGAACTCTGTATCTCTGAAATACAGACAATCCAGTGAGGATCAACATTTCTCACCAAGAACTTATAGTTACAACATTCCTGTAAAACCATCAAGCTTTTTTTAGTCATTCATGAGTATGTGTATTTATTTTATTTCATTTTCATGTAATCTGAATTCTGAGGCTGCACAGTTTGCATTTGATAATGTAGTGATTCAGTCTCGAGGGACTGGGAGAGAAGGATCTATTTTTGTATGAAGTAAAACTCATTGTCAGAGTCTATCCACCTAAAAAGTGAAGTTAATTTGCTATGACCAATTAAAACTGCATATTGCTGCTTCTCCAGTGTTTGTTCTTCAAGAGTCAAACTACACCTACAGGTGTTGGGACCCAAACATCATAACTCCTGGTTCACAGTGAGGTGGTCGTCCAGGTGGTTGAACGTAAGATCATCGATTGCTGACAGGTTTTTAAGTCTACTGGTTAGAAACACCCATTCTTCAGGTAAATTACCTCAATACTGTGAAAACAAAAACAGCTGGATCCAATCACAGCTGACATCAGGCGACAAGCGGGCCACACCCTGGGTGTGAAATGATTGATTTGTAAGTAGTTAAGCATGAAAACGTCCAACAAATAAACATACAACAGAACAAAACACCACACACTTGTATTTTAAAATGTTTTAATGTTTAATTCTGAGGCACAAAAAAAGAAAAAGTCAACACAAAAGTCAACCAATGTCTTGACCCTGTAACGCCTGTAGTCGTGTCCCTTCAGTGAGCTTAGAGCTTCAGTTTCACATTTAGTACCCACTTCATTAACATTACAGCATTCAGCATCCAGAAGCCAACAGTGAGATGTTGCTCAGCATGACACAACCTCTACTGCAGCCCACTGAGCTTGTGCAAAGTGAAATGACTATTGTTGCGCTTATATTCAAGGTTCAGTGTGAAGAATTTAGTGACATCTACAGGTAAAGTTGCATGTTGCAGCTGAATACCTCTCACTCACCCTCCCCCTCCAAACAGGAAAGAGAACCTGTGTTAGCCTTCAGTTGTCATAGAAACTCAAAAGGTGTTTGTTTTTTTTTTCAGTCTAGACTTCTGTAAAAAAAAAACATGGCGGCCTCCGTAGAGAGGACACTGCTCCTGAGGGGGATTTAAAGTATTTATATAAAGAGCCCGTTCTAGGGTAAAGAAACAATTTGTACAGTTTACACGATCACACATTATTCACTACATCACTAGGATTATTTTATATTCAATTCAAAGCCAATAGATCCATTTCACGTAATTCTTCCACACTGAACCTAAACTTGTTAAAATGTAGCGTTCAGTCGCCCGGAGCATCTCTAACATTGGTTCACTTTTTCTGTACAACACACTCAACACATCACTGCACACAGGGTAAAAAAAATACATATCCAGTCAGGACACACTCAATACACATCTTAAAAAAAAGATATTATCCCTAACACATTCACATTTACCATTAAGACATCAAACATCTTCACCCCAAACCATTTTCACCCGGTCCTCCTGTAACACAGCGGGAGCACAGCTCACACAAGTCGGATATGATAGTTACTGTAACATGCGGTGATCACAGGGCAGCGCTCTTCATTCAGCCTCGATCAAAAGAATCATCTTACATACGTCACGTGAATATTTCACCTGGAGAAGGCAGGATCTCTGTAAACAAATTCTTTGTTTTTTTCTCTTCTCTTTAAATATAAATAGTAATATTTGTTCCATTATGAACAGCAGCACAGCAGAGTGGTGACAGACGGCAGGAGCAGAACGAGCGATTAAGCTTTTTGTCTCATGCGGCAATAAAGGATTTTAAAAAGCCTTGTTTAAAAATAAATTAATCTGCTAAGAGAACAATATCATTTACATTGCTCACAGCAATAAACTGCTCAAAATAAAGAATCTGGAATCAAAGTTTTGAGGAGAAGCAGGCGATGGTAACCCGAGGGGCCTCTCAGCCACAGGTTTGGAGAATTCTTTTAATAAAAAGTATCGTCCCGTGTGATAGACAGTAAATCTGACAAGCAAAAAAACCTTATTTACAGAATGTACACATAACAAATGGTGCTTCGTGTCTCCTACAGGTATAACATATCTGTCAGTTCATCAGTAGGACAGAGGAGAAACCTCACACCGGATAAAAACAGTAATGATTTGAACACAGAGTGTCGTTGTCTCCATCACGCCACAGCAGATCACACATGGCTCAGTTTCAATCACTGGCTGATGCCCTGATTGGTGTAGTAGTCGCAGTCATTGTCCGCATACAGCTCCTCAGCACTGCCAGCTCCGTTTCCCACCTCTGGAGGGCACCAAAGGATAAAACAGAAAAACTAAAATCAGTCACCTATAGTACTTACATGTTTGACTCGTTTGCATAAACATTGACACTCTTAGTCAATAAAGCTGCTTTCAGACATGAACTGAACTTCGGACATTTGAATTAAATTTTACAGAGAACGCAGATGTCAATTGCTTTGGACATTTTCTGGAATGTTTGCGCCAGCCCCCTCGTAAAATGTTCAGAGGAGCCCATGTGAGAATCTACAAGTTTCTTCTGTGTTAACTTTATTGGCGAGTGGCAACAAACTGAAAGGTGCATTACCATCATCTACTGCTGTACTTAATCATCATAGAATCGTACTTCGTCTAATAATAACTAACAGTTCAGTAGTGTAGCTACAGTTAGAAGAACCCTGATGGTCTGTTGAATCTCTGCATGGTGTGAAATCGCTACTTGGGGTAGGAATAATACACCAATCCTATTCAAGCTGTTGGAGGCAGGGCTTCCTTCCATTTCAGCTTCAGAGAGAGAAAAGCAAGCAGGGTTTCTGACCGAGGTGAAGCAGCGTCATGACATGCTTGAAGACCCCGTTGTGGCATGTTCTTGAATTAACAAGAGGGAACCACGTCATTAACTCACAATTATCTGAGATAATGGAGGAACAAAATCATTTAGAGAGAGTGACCGTAAAGAGATCGACCGTAAAGAGATGGTTGAGAAAAGGAGGGAACAAGATGTAGAGCGACCATGCAGGCACGTTGATGAAGTTTCCAACATGAGACAGGCGTTAAACTGTAAAAAAAAAAAAAAAAAGAAAAAAAATATCTCAGGAGCCATACACGTAGAGAACTCTGACTAAAATGACAACGTGGAAAGACAAGGACTTTTGAGAGCGTTTGACAATATCTCTTGATGCCTGTTTCCATGTTGCTGTTAACAAAAATGTGATTTCCGCAGCTGAATTTAAAGATCATATCCTTTCTTTTGAACATTTTCCTTTTGTTGTGAAAGCGTCAGAACTGGAAAGTCTCCTGCTATGTGAAAGGAAAACTCTTTTCATGTCTGAAAATGGCTTTAGTGATCCAAAAAAAGTGGAAATACAGAACATATGAAACAGGAAATGTTGATCAGCTGGCACTGCTTACCTTTCACCCCCAGCACTACAGGCTGTCTAGACAGAACTGGGTGTCTATAAACTCCCCTACACAGAACGACGTCTCCACAGGGAGGAATGATGGGGAGATCACAAGGTGTGTGAAGCGATGGATGAATGGATGGAAAGGGCAAAATAGGCATAGAGGTGGCACGTAACGAGGGAGGCAATGGATGCATGGAATAATAAAAGGAAGAAGTCACTGCTGGCGGAGGAGATGGAGAGGAGGTAGGATGGACAGGAGGTGGTGCACATCACACGCGAAGATTGGAGAAGGCAGGCGGCTTTACTGGGGCTGACCTTCAATGAGGATGAGAGGCAGAGGAGGAAAAGAAGGAGCGAGAACATTCACAGACAGATTCATGCTGGGATGGAGTCACATGCTATTGGGGCACCTGAAACTCAAGAAAAGTCCCATTCCTCATCTTCCAGTTCAAAAAGTGTGAGATTGATTTTGTAAATCGGTAAAAAGTACAATGAGAGAAATCTGTTTTTGAGTTCAGGAGCCCAAACAAACAACACACTACAAACAACAAAGACCCACAACAGGACATTTTCATTTCGATGCGAGGGCCTCACCTGAAAAGATAAGTTTCTCCTTCATGACGCTAATGTCTCGACTGGACCTCCTGACGGCAGCGCTCAGCATGATCTGCTCAGGGTTGTAGCTGCGCATACCGCTCATCCGATACCTGCAGTGTCACATGTTACATTAGAAATCACCTCGAGACGATGTTTGAATTGAAATTTCATTTAAAGTAACTAATGAGTTAGTTTACAAAATCTGGTTGTTTTATGGAGATAAATAAATCTGTTTAATTTGAAAAACTAGAACTAATAGCTACACTTAAATAATTTGATCTGGTGTAGGCAAAAAAATATTTATGTATTTTCCTGCATGTGCTGTAAGTCAATTCAATATACTGTGCCTTGTGAATAATCGTGAAAGAACATTCTGTTCTGTGAAACATTACGAGAGCATTCAGCTAATTAACATTTAACAATCCCTTGCTCTCTTGGATTAGTACGTCAGTCAAGGCAGAAGACTGAGTCATTTCCTGTGTACGAAAATCACATCCTTGTTTAAATGAACAGCCTTAACTTCAATTAACTTAACGGACGAGCATTAGGCACAATAAATCAGGACTAATGCACAAAGGCATTGAGGAACAGAAATGCAAACAAGCGAGGCTTTAGTTCATCAGCATCGGTCCTGAGGCACTTCCACTGATGAGGCCGTCATTCATTTTGGATGTTTCAGTCTTTTGGTTAATGAGACGGAAAATAAATCTAACTGGGACTAGATGCTGTGGATATTTTGAGCTGCATAGGTGAAAACATTTATTTGATACAGCCCACAGGGATAAAGACCCTTTAGAGGAAAGTGTCAGCAGCGCTTTATGATTCAGGTGAGAGACAGAGAAGAAAGAGAGAGGAAATAAATACATGAGTAAGGTGGAGAGAAAAATCAGATGGAGAATGATGTCTTAATAAAGAGTGAGAAAAATAGACAGAGAGAAGACAAAGAATGCCTCAAACAAGAGAATGATGGATAAAGAAAGTGGAAGACAGACAGAGGATGAAGAGTTAGAAGACTTTGGGTCAGAAAGACATGACCCAGTTACCTGATCATGTGATAGCTGAGAGAAGATGCCAGTATGCAGCAGAGGAGGAGAAGAGCATGCACATCAGGCAGAGGAAGAGAGGACAAGGAAGGAGAGGAGGAAAGACAAAAAAAAGAAGGACGGGAGACAAGAGAAGTCAGTTTAGAAGCCAGCAGAAGCTGCTGTTGGACTGAGCCGAGCAAACCTGCAATGCATCATGTAAACAAACAAACAAAATCCCGTCTCCCTGAAGGACAGA